CTACTAGGAACAAAGGGCATTGCTACTAGGAGCAAGGAAGCTACTAGTAGGTCTTTGAAGCTACTAGTAGCTAGAAGCTTCCTTGGGAATCGTTTCACCTGTAGTAACAAGAAGCTACTAGTAGCAAGGACGCTACTAAGTGGAAGCCATTGCTACTAGGAACAAGAAAGCTTTCTAGTACTGTTTGAACACTACACTTCTTGGCAAGACTTTCACCTTCTTCGTTTTCCCCCACTCCACGTGGAACCGAACGGAATCGTGGAACTGCCCAGGCACGGCTCCACAATCGTTGGACCCATGCGTCGGTGGCCTCGACAAAATCTGCATCACTACTCCCTGACAGGCTAGTAGCTTCTTGTTCCTATTCTAGCGTCCTTGCTCCTAGTAGCAAGGCCAGGAGCCCCTAGTAGCTTCTTTGCTCCTAATAGCTTCCTTCATTGCACAAAAAGACTTTCTGTCTCAACACATCTGAAGACAGTTCTTTCGGCCATGTGCAGCATATGTGCAGCACTCGCCTCGGCAGGCTTGGCAAGGCTCCAGGCGCGTTGCTTGGCCTCTTTGAGGCGCCGCTCAATGTGGCGCCAATCGTCCACCAACTCCAAGCTCGATCGACCAGATGTCTCCATCGCGTCGCTACTAGGAGCAAGGACGCTACTAGGAGCAAAGGGCTTCGCTATTAGTAACAAGGACGCTACTAGGGGCTCCTGGCCTTACTAGGAGCAATGTTCGCTACTAGTAACAAAGGGCATCGCTACTAGGAGCAACGACGCTACTGTCTGGCACTGCAGCTTGGTGCCGTGTGACTGTCGACAGCAGTGTCGACAGCTGGCTGTGGACTGTAGATGTCTTTGCGACCCAAAAACGTTGTCAGGTGTTGTCTGCGCCTTTATTGAAACGCGGATCTTGTGGAGAGATGTGGAGAGATGGAAAAGGAAACTGGACGAGGCAAGCGAAGCAAGAAAAGCGAGCGTGCTTGAGGGGCTTTTGTGGCTAGTCCGCTGCTTGGCTTCTTCACGCTTTAGGGTCACCTTCGCCTTCGTGATGCTTCTTTTAATGAGGCTTGATTCTTGGTGTGACAGGCAACCATGCAGAAATAAACATGCTATTCCTTCAACCCGTGCTTCTTTCGCCATTCGTAGCCAGGATTCACATCCGGTCACTGATGTGCCCTCAAAAAAGTGCTCAGGCGAAGCAAATGCAAAAAGAACTCGCTCAGATCATTTCTTCACAAAGGAACTGCTCAAAAGCTCCTCGCTCAGGCTTTGAATCTTGACCAGCAGATCCTGCAGATATATCCAACACTTCAAAGACTGGTCTGAAAGGAACAAGGCGGGATTGCATGTGCATGAGCTACATGAGGCACTTCAAAGATTGAGCTAAACCTATGCAAGATTCAAACGGTTTTTGTTGAGACATGGCAAGAGTGGCAGCAGTCTATATGGTGACCTTGCTGGAAAGGGATCGTTGTGTTACCAACTTGCAAATCTGTCAGTACTAATTCGCTGCTACATTTCTCACCACGAATTGCTCTAGCATCTTTGTGGATGCAGAAGCCAAATGCGCTCGTCCTGCGATGCTACGCCTCAGCGAGGGAAACTCCAAGCAAACACCCAAGCATTAAGGAGGTCTTGAGGATCTGGGTGAGGCGTGTGTGGGTGCGTGTGTTGTGTTTGGACTCTGCCCCCCTTTTTCTTTAGACCCTCAGAATCCTTTAGGCCGTGTCTTGGTCCTGTTTGTCATGTCTGTTTGATTCTAATGTTCTTCTCCTTGCCGTAGGACTGTAGGATTAGTATCAAGATGTAACAATAGCGCTCTTCAAAGGGTTTCGGTGTTAGATCTGGAATCCTAGAAAGCCGTTTCACCCCTCAAATCTGTCCTGCAAGGGCAACAAAACTGCGCTGCTACGAGTGTTTTAGCGCACATCATATCCAGTTGAAAGTCGCACAGTTGGTGAATTTGTGTTAATTGTGCAACTAAGAGATCCCAGCGTCCTTGCTCCTAGTAATAAGGCCAGGAGCCCCTAGTAGCGCTCTTGTTCCTAGTAGCGATGCCCTTTGCTCCTAGCCGCGTCCTTGCTTCTAAGAGATCCCATGGAACCCGTGAAATTCAAGAAAATGGAACTCTTTGCTATGTTCCTAGTAGCGTGCCTGTTACTACTAGTAAGGCACTTGTTACTAGTAGCGTGGCACTTGTTCCTAGTAGCTTCTTGTTTACTTCTGTATCTTTGATGAGATGAAGCTCTTTGGGACTTTGGGATGGTCAGTGTGAAGCAAAAGAGACTTGATGAGCCAAGCCAAGGAGGTGATTCTCATGGACTTGAAAAAGCCGAAAACAAAGAAAGACTTCAAAACGACGTACTGTAAAGGCTTTTTCGGCAGTTGATATTTCTTTGTCGTTCCTGTCGTCCTTCAATTCTGCATACGAATGTGCGGATCCCATCGAAAGCCAAGGCCACCAGCTACAAAGACACCATCACCCCGATCTGATTTCATCAAGAGTTCTTGTGTCACCACAGCTGGAAGATCCTTCGCCACTGGTCCTGGTCGTGGAGACTTCACAGTCGTTCGATGTAGGATGCGAAGGCCTTGCTTCGTCTGGTCCATGTGTGCCTCTGGAGATGCTCGATGAGCAATGGCCCAATTGTCAATGAAAATGCAATCGCCCTCGTGGTAGGGATAGCTCATCCCATAGTTGCCGCCATTCTTCTGCAAACCAGAGTTCAAAAGTTGGTTGTAAGTGCCAAAGATCTGCAAAAGCTCCTTCTCCTCCAACAAACGTAAATCCGATGAAGTTGAAGTAGACATCCTCTCAAAAATACCGCCTGTCATTCCCAAGTGAAGGTACACTGAGCGCCTACCAGAGATAGGATGGTCATGAACGAGGGGATGCAGAACACCAGAGGTTGCATTGATCGAAACCAATCGAGACCAATAATCTTGTTTTTCTTCGGGCAATGCATCAAAGGCAGCTCCTTGATGCACAAACTGGGTGTCGCCTCCTTGTTCGGGGACTCGAACAATATGATATCCCACGTGTGAGAAGACGTTTACTTCAAATGATCCGTCATTATGCCATTGTGGGCCGACTCCTGTGATGCCCACAGAGCTATCGTTGCTCAATCGGAAGATGTGGCGGTTGGGCGCTTGTGGATGAACTCCATGAGTGCTATGCATCTCTCGAGCGCCCCAGAACTGGCTGCAATGCACCTGCTCATCACCGCTTAAGACCCCTTGATCTTTGAAGACCAGGAAACCTCTGGATGCCATCTCAGCCTCAGGGTTTCTCAGAAGGATCTGAAACACCACAATGTGAAGGGTCTGAAACAAAAGAACGCGACACAGAACTGTTCGACTTCGATTTATTGGATTTTAACACATTTGACTCTTTGAAGAACTTGAGGAAAGGAATAGATAGGAAGGAAGGAAGGAAGGAAGGAAGGTTTAAAGAAAAATAATGCACATGACAAAGGAGGAAAACGAGGAAGACAGAGTAGCGGAAAACTTTCTTTCTTTCTCTCTCTATCTTTCCTGTGCCACTATGGCTCATACACATGTACATTATATACGATTAGCTTATATCTAGCTTGCTTATAGCTGTTAACGAGTGCTGGGTGAGACTTCCGGAGCCGTTTCCACCTCCAAGGCTTGGAGGACTTCCGGCTTCGGTGGTGAGGTCCTCAAATCGAGGCCACTCACTTCGGCTCCCAGCGGATGGATCGCAGCGATCCGCACGCCGTGCTTGGCCAAGAGTTGCACATTCGACTCGGCCAAAGCGCGTACCGCCATGAGTAGCGATGCCAGGAGCCTTTAGTAGCTTCTTGTTACTACTAGTAAGGCACTTGTTCCTAGTAGCGAGATCGTGCCCGTCTGCGATTGTGATCTGAAGCTGTTTGGCCATGAGTCGTGTCTGGGTGTCTATGACGTGTTTGTCGGTGTGCGGCGGTAGTTGCTTCGAAGCGAAGCTCCAGTTGTGATCTGGAGCTGTTTGGGTTTCTGTCGGTCAGTATGGGTCACCATAGAGATGCAAATGCTCGAGTGCTTGAGCCACTTGCATCTGGTCTAAGTTGAGAAAAACAAACTAACAAACATGCTTAGAGGCCAGAAAGCACCATTTGCACCCGGCTTTACATGAACGGTGCAGGTTGTGCATGTTTCATGATGCAATTAGGTTGGAGGCCGTTGCTATTAGTAACTCAAAACAAGATTGTTTCCCGCTCCACAGTCTGCTTCCAGATGCTGCGATTCTGACAACCGGGTCGCTCTCTGCCACTGTCAGTCTTGAGGGCTGTTGTATGTGAGTCTAAACATAGGGATTGCGCATCACCAAATCCTTTCATTTGCATGGTGTCTTTCTTGATATTGTTTATTCAGGCCTTTACCCCTGTCTTTCTTTTCAACCGTTTCTTGCCGCTTATTTCCCCTTGGGGAATGGACTTGACTATCCTTTGCATCAGACACCCGCAAACATGTGTTTTTTCTCCAACAAGCCTTGTCTTGCAAGGCCTTAGCAAAATACTGGTCTTGTCCAGTCTTGATACGTTGTTTTCCAACTCAAACGACTCCCAAAAGCTCCATCTTGCCCAGCTGCTGGAGTGTCGTTCAGCAGCAGAAACGCCAACAGCCAATACCTTGCAAAGGCTGCGATGGGATTTTGCTCATGTGATGCTCTTTCCGAAGGTTTGATAGTAGGTCTTTGAAGCTTTCTACTAACTAGAAGCTACTAGGTGGAGGCCATTACTACTAGTAGCAAGGACGCTATTAGGTGGAGGCCATCGCAAGTAGGTTGGAGGCCATTGCTACTAGGAACAACTGACACGCCGCCAAAGTCCGGACCGGTCCTTGCTACTAGTAGCGATGCCCTTTGTTCCTAGTAGCTTCTTGTTACTACTAGTAAGGCACTTGTCACTAGAAGCGATGCACTTGTTCCTAATAGCTTCTTGTTTCTACTGCTGTTCGACTCAAACTAGGGATGGCCTCCAACCTAGTAGCTTCTTGTTCCTAGTAGCGATGCCAGGAGCCCCTAGTAGCGATGCCCTTGCTCCTAGTAGCTTCTTGTTACTACTAGTAAGGCACTTGTTACTAGTAGCGTGGCACTTGTTTCTAGTAGCTTCTTGTTACTACAGGTGAAACGATTCCCAAGGAAGCTTCGATCTCTGCCTCCAGGTCGATCGGAGCATTCTCCATTGCCACAAGAGACTGGCCATTGTGCACGATTGCAATCACAAGAGTGGTGTTGGTATGCTCATTGCTCTCCCACTGAACTGAACAAGAGATCTGCAAACCTAGTCCACATGAGTCTGAACCTGTGGAAGCAACAAGAGGGAGTTCCAATGAAGTCGGTTAAAGAAACTTTTTGAAGCGCACCCTCTGCCACTGGCTGGCGCGGAGGCAAGCACTGGTGATGGCACTGCTGGTGGCCTTGCGCTCTGGGCTCCACCAGTTGGCACGAGAACCAAAGGTCGGCTCAAACCAGGCTTGCAACATTCTTTAGTGGGAAAGGAGGAAAGAAGGGTCCAAGAAAGGTCCAAGGGTCCAAGAAACAGAAACGGGCTGCATGCTTAAGCTATAATGTTCACTCAATCAGAACGCTTGCACACACTAGGCTCGCCTTATGTTCTGTCTCCTTCTTTATCTTTTCCTGTAGACCTGCAAAATAGACCTGTCATTTTCCGTACCTTCCTTTTAACACGTTCTTTCCTCCCCTTATTAGTGTACATATTGCCAAACTCGGCCAGATTGCACTTCAGGCCAAACTTGGAAGCACGTCTCTTGGCTCACGGCCACCTCCAAATGAATTCGCTGCATCCTGCAAACGAAAAAACAAACCGCGGGCAATCAGGCAGGCCGGGCAAACCAATTAGAACAACTTAAGGAAGAGAACCGCAAAAGCCAAAGGAAAGGAAAGGACATGAAAAGGAGAAGGAGGAGGAGGAGGAGGAGAGTAGAAGAAAAACAAGAATCGAACATCACCAAATGAATAGTGCGAGCACTATCATACGTCCAGTTACTAGTAGCTTGCTTTGCCCAAAGAAGCAATGGCCTCCAACCTACTAGCGATGGCCTCCAACCTAGGAGCAATGGGCTCCTAACAGTTATTAGTAGTTGCCTCCTCAATTAAGGAGCTAGAAAACCTGTCGCTGGCGCTGTGCACGTTGCTGGGCCTCATGAGGTCTAGGAGGTTGAAGGATTCCATCCAAGATCCACCGGCAGCAAAGCCACTCAGGGCAGCATTGGCCCCAGTCTCAGTCACGGCTTCTCTGGAAATTTAGTAGCGTCCTTGATCCTAGTAGCGATCCCAGGAGCCACTAGTATTCTTGCTCCTAGTAGCGATGCCCTTTGTTACTAGTAGCGTCCTTGTTACTAAGCCACCATTGCCATTAAGGGAAGTTGCGGAAACTTCAAGAAACCCGAGTGCACTGAGCAAAGAGCTGCATCCAGTTTCAGCCGCAGGTCCCTGAACGTAGGACAGTCCGTCCAATTGTTTAGTTTCGCACGCCCACACAGATGACAAGCACACCAAATTGATTGTCCACTTCAACAAAGTGGCTCCAAGCTTGAAGAATCTTGTCCACTCCAAGGTATGTTTGAACATGTTCATTTGTCCTATTTCGGGCACAATTGGCCTCTTAGGTTGGAGGCCATTGCTATGAGGTTGGAACAAAATGAAAAAAGAAAGTCAGTTCCTTTGATTCCCTTGAAGAGATGGCCTCCAACCTACTAGCTTCTTGCTACTACTAGTTTCTTGTTCCTAGTAGTAAGGCCAGGAGCCCCTAGTAGCGTCCGATCGCTCCTAGTAGCGATGCCCGTTGCTCCGTTCGTAGCTTCTTTGATTCCCTTGAAGACTCGAAGACATCTGAGATCAGCTGACATCTCACCAAGAAACAAGAAGCTACTAGGAACAAGTGCATCGCTTCTAGTAACAAGTGCCTTACTAGTAGTAACAAGAAGCTAGTAGAAACACGAATTAGTAATTAGAAACAATAAGCTACTGTGAACGTCACACCCTGTCGCCTCATCGAAGCTAAGAGCTCCGACACCCTCGTGCGCCCTTTTTGTGCCAAGGCCGTGTTGAAGCTAACAACATCTCGCCTGGGCGGAAAGAACTACCCGCTGCTAGCCACTCCCCCAGCCGCTACTCTCGCAAGCAAGGGACAAAACTGTGACTACTTTGGTTACTAGGAGATAAAAATAAATACTACACTCATTCTTCCCTTTTGTCCTTTTCACCTTTAGACCTTTGGACCACTTTGTTTCCTGTTGACACAATTCGCATTCATTCAACAAAGGTGAACCAAGGTGACAAGGCACTTCCTGGTGCGAAAAATGTGCAAAGCGTAGTCCCACCTTTCACAAGGCTAGGAGGATCACAACTCACGCCTGAAACTCAAATCGTAAATGGCCTTTCGCCCCATTGATAGACGGCTGAAAGCACATTGGCAGCACGAACCTGAAGACAGGGATTGACCGCTAGTAGGTTGGTGGCCATGGAAAGAAAAGAAAGAAAATTAGTAAACTACAGACCATTAGGTTGACAGAAAGCACATTGGATTGAGAGAGACAGCTGAGGTGGACGCTCGTGGGCTCGTCTGTGCCTTGGCAGAGGACGAAACTGCTTAGAACCCTTTAAGACCTTCGCTTTGGAGCAAAGATGCTACTAGGGGCTCCTGGCCATACTACTAGGAGCAAGAAGCTATTAGAAACAAGAAATAAGTAGAATGAACATAGAATTAAAACAAGAAGCTTTTCGTAGGACCTTTTCGTGTTCCTCTTTTTGGACGACATCACCGGAGCGACGCCACAAACGGTCCACTACACGAGCTCTGGCTCTGAGTGAAAGATTTCCATCTTTCCAGGGCCGGTCAGTTAGAATATGTTTAAGAAAAAAATTATCTAAACCGCAGGCCATTGCTTCTAGGTTGGAGGCCATTGCTGTTAGGTTGGAATAAAAAGGAAATTACTTTAAGTTCTGTCCGTCACCGATCACACCATCCTAGTCTCAGAGCTGCGTTGATCATTCTGCCGTGTGCGCGCGCGCTCTCACCGACTCGATGCAAGCGCTTCCAACCTGCCCGGCGTATGCTGAAAGACATCCCCAAATCCAAATACCAAAAATCAAACTGAACAAAAGCTTTGACTATTGGGATTCAAGTCTTTTTGAGATCAAAAGCTCCAAAACTGACCCTCTTGAGGATACCGGGTACCCACAACCAAATCTCTGGATAGGCTGGATACGGGGCGGCGGGGCGGTGGCTCAGACCTCTTCGGCCCGTTTGGTCGCATCCACTTCCCCGACGTAGCAGCCCTTCTTGGAGAAGAACTGTCGAAGCAATGTGGAGTCCTGACGACTGTCGGAAGACAAAAGGAACCACTAAGAGTGCGAAGTCCCTTTGAACATGCAAGCTTCTTGTTACTAGTAAGGCCAGGAGCGCCCTAGTAGCGTCCGATCGCTCCTAGTAGCGATGCCCTTTGCTCCTAGTAGCCACAGTTGAGAAAAGTGCAGGGAGAAAAGTCGCTTCGTCCTTCTGGTGACGCTCGAGGTCTTCTTTCAGCTTCGATTCCTGCTTCTGGAGCTGTCTGAACGAACCAACTAGCATCAACTCTAAACCTTGACTACTAGGAGCAGAGGGCATCGCTACTAGGAGCGATCGGACGCTACTAGGGGCTCCTGCCCTCACTACTAGGAGCAAATAGCTAGTAGTAGCAAGAATGAATTTGACTCCCACTTGTGAGTTACTTGTAGGAAGGCCCGAGCCCAAGCCTGGAAGGAAGGCCGGATCAATGGATCTCCCGTGAAGTCATCCACACCTTTCTCCAGAGGAGTTCGATGAGAGTCGTGGTACAAGCGTCCTGA